TAATTATGTTATTTTTTTTAATTATGATATTATTTTAATTATAATACATGAGATTCATAATTATGTATCATATTGTGTTTAATTATAATAATTTTTTTATTATGATTTAAAAAATATCAAATCATATTATTTTATTTAATTATAAGGTGCATATGCTTTCGTTAAAAAAAATATGTCGGTATTGTTTGACATTTCCTTGCATATGAACTTGACCTTTTCTTATTCGCAAGACACTGTTGTGACAAGTAAAATTTTTTTGTTTTTTTCATACAAGTAATTTTTTTGAGAAATTGCAATGGGGCAATGGAAAAAAAAAAAAAAAATTACACTAAAAATGAAAAAAAAAAAAAATTGGTATAATTTTGATACACAAGAAGAGTTATACCAAGTAAATAAATGAATTTGTATACACACATAAAACTTATACCATCATGAAAATATAATTTTTTTCCAACTCCACTGAAATGCAATTTTTTTAATTAAAGCATATGAGAAGTTGTTAAAATAATTATTCTTTTTGAGTAAAAGAGTTAAAGTGACATTTGATTTTTGTAGTTGATCACAAATAGTTTAGTGACCTTTTTGCTTTCTAACATTTTAACTAAAATTTGAACTTTTTTTCTTATTTAGTGACCCATTTTGCTTATTTTTAGTTCTAGTATTTAAATCCACATACAATGTTTGTTTAGTACATGAAATGAAAGTTAAGTATAATTTTAAAACTAATGATTCTTTCTAAATTTAAAATATTAATAAATTCTCATTATTATTTCACAATTATTAAATGATATAATGGACATCTTCCATTACAATCATTGAATGGAGAGGATCTTAGTCCATCAAGAGACTTTTTCTTCTGAACAGCTAATCTATCTCTTTTTATTGAGGTTCTCTTTACAATATAATAAATCTTTGTTGGCTACTCATATTATAAAGAAGTGGAGATTCAAATAGAAAATTTTAAACAAAATTACCCCTGCCGAATGTATTTGTCACCAATTCAATGTTATCATTGCCCCCTTTGGATACCAAATCTACCCATGTTTGTTTGGGTGGACATGAACTTGAGATTGGATTAATAGTCCAATAAAATTATTAATTCGATGTTTGGTTAAACAATTGAAGTGGGGACTAATTATTTTAAACTTGACTATTAGTTAAGATAGGATACATAATCCAACGGATTCGTAGTCCTAGGACTATTAGTCATGGGAATTCTAATCCAGTCCGCCCAAACAAACATGGCCTAGTGTTTTATTACCTGTCCTGATTAGTTTAGGTAGTATGTGGTAGAGTTTCTAACAGAGTACACAATGTGATCTATCATTTACGTTTTTGGATGGAATGATAGCTTCACATGATATGGGAGCATATCTGCAGTGTAGCAATAGCCAACATTTGCAGTGTAGTTAATGTTCTTAAAGAATTGTGGAAATCATATTTTATTGTAATTTGTTTTTGTTTTTAAATTTTGGGGTTTTTAAGTTCTGATTTGATATAAAATTTAAAAAATCTGATTGATTAAGATGGGTAATCTGTTTTTAAATAGGGTATGGAACAACATACCCTCCGCCTGGGTACCTCTCAGCACCACCAGCACCGCCATACAAAGGGTACCCTCCACAGCCAGCAGGGTATCCATACCCGGCACCACCATAGCCAGGATATCAAGGTTACTTCAATCAAGGGTACCCTCCTCCACCACCACCACCACCCCCACCCCCACCCCCTCAATCCCAGCCTTACCAGTTGTACCATTGTGAGCATTACCAATACCAAAATCAGAGCGGTTGTACCTCATTCCTCCAAGGCTGGTATGTCATATCTCTCTCTACTCTTTTTCGTTTCCTTTCATTTCCTATTCTGAGGTGTCAATGTCCTGGGATTCTCTTTTTCAGTTACCAATCACGTGTGATAGGGATTTTTCTATTTTTTTTCATCGAAACCTTTTCTCATTAGCTATATTGATAAAGTAAGTTACGTTAAGCATTCGATTTAATGCTTGTTCATTTTAGTTTTAGCAGGGGAATCAAAACAAAACTTGATCTAATCAATCTCTGAATTTATCATAATTCCGGATTAATTCATCCTGAGATGGTACAAGGTTTTCTTTTTTCTTTTTCCTGTATTGCTCCATTGCATGACGATTATTGGTAGTTCCACTGGAAAGTAGTAGAACAATTAAAGGTACAAAAATCCATATTTATGTTAAAAGGGCTGCTCTGGACGGATGAGATAAGATGATGTCAATTGCTTCAAGAGGATTGATTTTTCAATTTCTGTCATGTTGAAAATCTCCTAGCACATTATTAGTTTCTACATTTCCAGATGAATAAACTATTTGTGCTTGGAATGCATGAGAATGGCAGTGGAGAACTTAGCTAGGTGACCTACCCCAACCCAACACATATCTATTTACATACATAGTTATGGTCTGGTCAATATTACTTTTTCAGAACCAGGATTGGCTCATGGTCTGGGCTGTGATGTGGATGCTTTTCAATATGATCAAGTTTTGTAAGCCTTGCATGACTTGAGATAACATGATAAAGTTAACAGCAGTTTTATAAATGGACAAGTTTAAACATAAAACTGCGAATGTAGGACACTCAACAATTACACAATGTCTACTGTATGCTTTAGAACCAGATGGTTTCAAGTAAATGGTATGGAACTAAAGTGCATTCGCTAAAACATGAATTGTTGAGATCAATGGTTGATATATGCTCAAGGTGAGTGGTGTTGCTATCGGCCAGTACCAAAGTGTGATATAGCTTGTTATTTGGCAAAACAAGTCTAAATCGGCACCAGAACCAAGCACATGTGCAGCTTGAAGGCTTTTCTTTATCCTTGGTGAATGGGAAGGACTTTATTTGGACTGGATGGAAATAATTTGATGGCAAGCATGATATATGACAATATAAAGAGATTTAATTTATTTGGGATCACATAAAATTGGGAATTGACATATGGTTTTGCATTGTTGCTGATACTGTATTTATTTTCTCCTTGATCCCTAAGATATGTTTACTCTAGCTTTTGATGGTAGCAAAGCAGCAATGAATGAAGTGGAGAAGCACACTTCACTCTGCAGTCATTAGCACTTTTTGTTTCGCCAATTGAAATCTAAAGTAGGACATGACAAGTATCATTCATATGACAAGTAGGACATGACATCCATATGTTCATTAGACTTCCAATGGATTCAGTTCTTCTAAATGCATGAGTGCTTGAAAATTGTTTGAATATCTTAAGTATCATTCATATAACTGTGTCTCCCTCGTATTTTTTGTTTCAGTCTATTTTGCTTGGGAGTTGTTGGTAATTACAATCATTTATGTTATGTTTGGATCATAGATTTGGGTAGAGATTTGTGAAAATGGAAAGGAAAATGTGTTTGCCTTATGGTGTGTTTGGATCATGGATTGGAAAGGGAAATGGAGAAAAAAAATTAGCTTATATTTCTTTCACATTTTCCTCACATTTTCCCTATTCCTTTCCAAATCCATGATCCAAACATAGCCTTAGAATTTTGTTAAAGATCCTTTTCGATCTGCATAAGCCACTTTTATATGATGATTGACAATCACATAATAATTTGATTATTTTTTTCCACCTGCAGTTTGGCTGCGCTTTGTTGCTGCTGTCTGATGGGGGAATGCTTCTACTAAGCCACTATGAACTTTACATAATGTACGTGGGGTGTCCTCTAGTAATTCTTTATGTGAGGTCCTTGTAATTTCTGCTCTCTGTATCTCTATTATCTTCCCCATGTTTTCTCGAATCTATGCCTCTTCTCTGGTTGCTAAAGAGGTTTTATTATGAGGCATGTGTGCCTATTTGAATTATTGGTTGTGGACGTTTGGATTATTTCCTGACGTTTGGATTATTATGAGGCATATTGACTATTTTTGTTAAGATGGTTGGCTATATGAAAAATTACTTTGTAGATTCTGATGAGTGAGAGTTAGATCAAATGGCCTCTAAATTTGTTTATGCTATGAGAGCATTATTTATTTAATTTTACATGATTCTCATCTGTGTTTGTATTGTCTTTGGGTATGCCCTTTTCTTTATATATATTTAGTGCTTCTTGGTATGTGAAAATCTTCTTGTTAGTGCTTCTTCAAGTTTTAAAAATTACTTTGTAGATTCTTCTAATGAGTGGGAGTTGGATCAAATGGCCTCTAAATTTGTTTATGCTATGAGAGCATTATTTATTTAATTTTACATGATTCTCATCTGTGTTTGTATTGTCTTTGGGTATGCCCTTTTCTTTATATGTATTTAGTGCTTCTTGGTATGTAAAAATCTTCTTGTTAGTGCTTCTTCAAGTTTTAGTACTGTTTATAAGTATTGGGTACAAATTCTTCAATTTGTGTTTATTTTGGTGAATCTGATTACAGTTTATGTTCTAATGCAGGCATGTAGACCAGTGAAGACTACAACTTTTATGCTATGACATGATTTTTTGATATATGTTAGTTTGTGATTAATATTAAGACATGATTTTTGGATATGTGTTAGTTTGTGGTTAATGTTAAAACATGATTTTTAGCTATGTTAATTTTGTGGGTAATGGTGATTGGATATTAATTGAATGAGAAAGTGAATTAATGCTTTATTACAGCTATTTGAATGGGAGTTATTATTTTATATTAGTGTTATTACAGGTATTTTTTTAGTTCAATCGAATAAAATTAGCACAATTTCAATCCAAAAAAAAAAAAAAAGGATATGATGGCGTTTCTCCAAACGCCTCTTAAACCCTACATACTAACGGTCATATTTTTTAAAAAATATATAACGGCCTTTTTTCAAAACGTCGCTAAATATTGTCAATGACGTCAGCGTAGGTTTAATAGGACATTTGGCAAACGCCGCCTATACTAATATCATGACGTTTTTAAAACGCCATAAAGCTATAGCGACGGTCGCATCCTCAACGTTTGGTGCTAAGCGTCACAAAAAAAATTGATAGCATTTTTGGCACTTAAAACAACGTTTTTTAAACGCCACTAAAAATTGAATTTCATGCAGTGATCTTAACCTTTCATTTCAAGTTCAAGTTAGTTTTCTAGAATTTTGCTCACAATCCTTGACTCGCTATTCCACAAATTAATAAAGGTGACATAAAATCAGATTGACCTGTTAGAATAAATTTAAACCATATCATTTTTATCAAATTTAAACAACACATTACTTTAACATATCATTTTGATTTTTTTATTATTGACGGTCTACGATAAATAAACGTGATGTGTAATGGGCCTACCTGCACAGACTAATCCTGTTAAACGACTGGTAGAGAAACCTCTTTCAATAAATAAAGTAAAAGAATTATAAATTATTTACTCTCAATATATTTATATGAGAGCACACTACACATGTGGGAGACTATACTTTATGAAGTGGGACAGAAGAATATTGAATCTGCACTACCTTGATAACCTAATAACACACCAACAATAGACAAACATAACAAAACGATAATAGCAACAAATAAACATAAATTTTATCCAAACACAAACAAACATAGACAAAAATAGTAATATTACAAAATCAAAAAAATTATTAGGAAATTAGTCCAAAATATTAATATGTGATTCAAATTTATTTTACATATGAGACAATAAGATTTTCTATAAATGAGGTCACAGGTTTCGCTAATTCTAAACAAAAATAAAAATAAAAATAAAAACAATATTTCACAATTTGGTTTTGACTGTTCATAAAAGTTGGAGGTTTTTTTTGTTTTTTGTGTTTTTTTAGTCTTTAAAATTTTTTTCTTCATATTTTAGTCTCTTTTTTTTTTCTTTTTCTAAATGCACCTAACGTAGGTGTACTTAAAAAAATATTTGTGAAAAAATCTTTACAAATTTCAACAAATACAACAAAAAAAAAATTTTAAATATGGACAATTACAAAAAAAATAAAAATAAAAATGGTATAAACTCAAAATATTTACAAAGAGATAGAAATACAAGATTTAGTTGTACAATCTAATGCATAAATTGTTTGTACTTATATGACATTGCATTTATTTTGTGTTGAGACCATTTTTTTGCAATTCTCCCAAAAAAAATGTACTGAATTTTCTTTAAAAAAAATTGTAAATATGTTATTTTTTAAATGTATTTAGATTAAGGTGATGTTTGGTAAACATTTTGGACTAAAAAAGCACAAAAGGACAAAAAAAAATCACAAAACGACAAAATAAGCAAAAAGACAAAAAAAATACACCATTCCAAAGCCAAAAAATCAAAAAAGCCAAACAAAAATACCAAACGATTAAAAAAGTCACTGGCTAAAAAAGTCAAAAAAATCAAAAAGTCAACTAAAAAAGTCATTGCCAAACGAGCACTAAGTGAATTTAAAAAATTTTAAAAATTGCTTAAAATATTTAGAAAGTTTACTAAAGACAAAAAAAACAAAAAATAAAAAATATATTTTTAAAAACTATTAAACAAACAAAGTGATTTAAATGTTTCAAACAGTAGATCTCTAATGATGTAGATCCCCATTTAATAAGGTCCCTTAATTTTTTATTGCAATTAAACTATATTAAATAATATAAATAATTTTTTTTTTTATGAATCTTTGATTGCTTGATAGGGTCAACCCTCAAATGAAATCGTCCTAATATGAACACCCACAATATACACTTTTAATTTCCACCGCATGCTATTATTTTTTACACAAATCTAAAACTCAAAGTCTGAATTTCTAGAATTTTTTAAACAAAATACATCAACCAAACCATATATATATATATATATATATCAACCAACTGGTCCTTGATTGTCATGATATATAATATATAGTTGTTCTTTCCTAGTCAACTAATATTGATCACCTAATATACATAGTAGATGTGAATACCTCCACGCACCAAAAAATAAAAAAAATAAAAACAAAACAAAACAAAACATAATTAAATCACAAAAAATATCCAAAAAACAAATGTTAAGGTCCACTGATAAAAGTATCATTATTAGCTAGTTTTGTCGTTATTTTCACTATAAGTGGACCTCTTGATGCTAATGTGTACATTTTCTTTAAACAGCAAAAAAGAGAGGGAAAAAAAAATAATAGTTGTGTAACAATAGATCATAGAGATAATGGGTGAGGTTGGTTTGGTTTTAGAAGATAATTTTTTTTTTTAAATCTTGGGGGAAAAGTTTAGAATTTTTTTTGATTTGTTTAGTTGTATATTTTAAAAATAGTTTTAGAGTGTGGGAGTTTGAAAAGATTTGATATTTTGTTATAGTTGAGTAGATATGTGTGACAGAAAAAATAATTGAGAATGAGAAAGGAGAGACAAAAAGTAATTGATTGATATGTAACAAATAAAAAGTGATTTTGGTTTTCAAAATCACTAAACTAAACAAAATTCACTTCAAAATTTATTTCTCAAAAAATAAATCAAACAAGGCAAACATATCGTTATAACATCAATAAAGAAGAGCTGAGGTTTATATACTGTCTTGGCATGTATATTTTAATATTTTTCTCTATGATGTAATTATGCTTCTGTTTTTTTATCAGTGAAAAATAAATTTTATTAATATTATGATTTAAACAACACTGGCCTGTCTAAACTCTATGGTAGTGTTTGGTAACGTTTACGTTTTTAGTTTATGTTTACAAAAATTTTAAAAACTGATTTTTATTTATTTTTAGAAAAACATAAATTACAAACGCGTTTGGTTTGAACAAAATGTTTAAAAAATTTTAAAAACATAAACTAAAAAATATGTTTGTTTAGGCCTAAAATATTTATATTTATTTTTATTATTTATGACAACGAGACCACACACATTATAATTGAAAAAAATTAATTAAAAAAATAATTGAAAAAAAATTATTTGGAAAAAAGATTAATTGAAAAAAAAATGAAAAAAATTAATTAAAAAATAATTGACAAAAAAATTAATTGAGAAAAAAATATTTGAAAAAAAAATTAATTAAAAAAAAAAGATTAATTGAAAAAAAAATTGAAAAAAAAATTAATTGAAAAAAAAAAATTGAAAACTGAAAACGTAAACTTCCTCAAATTTATAAACTGAGACAACCATTTATAAATCAAAAAAATTATCAAACAAATTTTTATGACAATTTTTTAAATTTTTATAAATATAGACTGAAAATTGAAAACGGAATAATTACCAAACAGGATATAAATCTATGGTGCTCTGAACCCTATGAAGCCAAAACAAGATATATATATATATAGAGAGAGAGAGAGAGAGAGAGAGAGAGAGAGAGAGAGAGAGAGAATGGAAAAGAGCAAAGTTCTTGTGGTTGGGGGTACAGGGTACATTGGTAGGAGGATTGTTAGGGCTAGTTTAGCCTTAGGACACACAACCTATGTCCTTCAGAGGAGAGAGATTGGCCTTGACATTGAAAAGCTACAAATGTTACTTTCCTTCAAGGAGCAAGGGGCTCAGCTCGTTGAAGGCTCATTTTTTGACCATCAAAGCCTTGTGGATGCAGTGAAACTAGTCGACGTGGTCATTTGCACCATGTCTGGTGTGCATTTTCGGAGCCACAATATTTTGATGCAGCTCAAACTTGTTGAGGCCATCAAAGAAGCAGGAAATATCAAGGTATATACCTAACTTGTATCATAAAGTTATCAACGGAATCAATTCTCATCATTAAAATGATGGTAACAGTCTTAGGGGTTTATATTCAAAAAAAACACTTTAAACAATTATTAAACTCAGTGAGTGTCTGGTAGGTTGTTATTTTAATAGGTTATTTT